GTGTGCCGTACGTATATACCTGCAGGGAGGTTTTGCGTCGCTTACCATGTTAGATTGTCCATATAAAGAGGACAAGTTGAATTAATACGTGCAAAGAGTAAAGTCTATTTCTTCCATGCAAGACACTGTGAGCACGTTTGGTTCACTGGCTATCCCCTAACTGGCTGAACAACTTGAGCCTGTTTGATTGGCTGAACAAGCCTCCTACTCAGGCCCATCATGTCACCTAGGGGGTCTTAGCCTGGCTCCAAAAACGCAGAGCCAAGCTCTGGGCAGCTTTGCACTAAGTTGCCTCACCTCTATTCGGTGAGATCTGTCGGTGCTCCTCCTCCGCCAGTGCTCCTCTTGCCGGTGCTCCTGCCCACCCTTGCTCCACCCGCCTGTGCTCCTCCTCTCCGCCGGTGCTCCACCTGCCGGTGCTCCTCCCCTCATGGAGCTCGCGCGCATGACGCCTCCCCAAGAACCACACGCGGCTATGGCTCGGCACCTTCGACACCGCCGAGGACGCGGCGCTCACCTACGACAAGGCCGCCTTCCACCTCCGCGGCGACATGGCGCGCCTAAACTTCCCGTCCCTTCGCCGCGACGGTCCCCCGTGGACTCCCCCAAGCGGTCGATGTCGACGGAGGTGGAGGATGAGTCGTGGAGCTTGCGCGCGCATCTTGGGAGCATGCGGTGTCGGTTGGAGACGGGCGGTGTGCTATGAGAGGTGTCGCTCACCACATGTTCGATGAATTTCCTCAAAGGTGGTGAAATTACCTACACAGCCAACCAAACAAACTAGTTGGTAGTCAGGCTTAGATAGTGTAGGTAACCAAACAAGTTCATCTTGGCTTGCTAGAGGCAGGCTTGGGCTGTCCAAGTTTAGATTCTAGGTAGGCTAGAAGTAAGTCAGGAACAAACACACCCTATTAGGCCTCCTCTAAATGGTGTATAGGAGCTAGCTCACGTTAGAATTAATGGGCTCGGCCCATATATCAATTCTGGAAATTCTAAGTAAATCTCAAAGGTCAATTTGCGTTGGAGGTGGTACACAATCTATTACTCCTCTATTGCTAATGTACCCAATAAATATGAACTACCCCTCTCACTACAGACCTATTATTATACGGTATGGCACCTAGTTTGGGAATTCATAAGAGTCTACACGAGTAGGGTTTTGCCTCTTCTTCGTTGCTGCGCCGCCATCATTGGCGAACGGGGGAGTAGGTCTTTGGAACCTTTTGTCCCTGTGATCCTGCATCGGGAGAGAATGAATAAGATTTTTGCGAAGCACTCCGCGCGATTGCTCAAGGTCTTTGCCACGACTCGTCCTCCGTCCAAGTTGGGCGCGTTGCAGCATAACATCATCTTCAACGCCGTATGCTGCACTCCATCTGCGACATCGTTGTTGTCCTGTCTACACCGCTCATCACGTATTGCTTCCTCGTCTGCACCCCTTCAACACGTACATCGTGATCTGATCTGCTATTTCATCATGTTTACTGAGATCATAATACTGTGGCTTACTTACTAGCATGTTAGAGAATTGCATACTAGTTTCTAATTTTTGTCATGCTCTATCTATTTCGGAATTTAATCGGTGATTGTCTAATTATGGAACGGTTCAAAGAATATTTTCTCATATTTTAATAGGAGAGAAGAGATATCTCTCTTGGTCATGGGATAGCCTCATACACATACACACACACACTTCAAGATTAATCCCTCCGTCCCAAAAAAAACACCATCATTCTAGTAATTTTTAGATAGATAAATATGAAGGTAAAATGACGATGGTTACCCCTGTTTATTAGCCATATTTAGTGCTAATTGACTAATGCAGGTCTCCATGCGCTTATGCACATACCAAATGGGGTAAAATGACATGTTTTTTTGAGGTAAATTTTGAACCCTAAAATGACAAGTTTTTTTTGGGACGGAGAGAGTATGGGGGATGAATGTGGTCTATGGGGTCATTCATATTATGAGTTAGTTATGTGCTAAAAGTTAGATCATTACTGGAAGAGTTGCCTCTAGAGTACTTAGAGCTAGGTACTAGCTCTTGGAGGAGGCTTTAGATATGTTAAGGTCCTGTTTGGATCCACCCTGGATAAATTTTAGCCAGCTAATTTGACTAGCTAAAGTTTAGCTAGGGTTGTTTGGATCCTCTAGCTAATGGGTGAATATTGACTTTATTGTCCCTTTCTTTCTTCCTCCCTCCATCCCCATTGCTCCCACTGTGCCAAGCCATCCTCGCGCCCCATCCACACCACCAGTAGCTTCCTCCGCGCGCGTGGCCAGAGGCCTGCGGACCATGTTGGAGCAAGCCACGAGCATCAGCGGGCTCACGCGAGCCCCGCCGTGCCCTAGCTCCACCATTCGCCGCGGGCGGCCATCGTGTCGTCGGCGAGCCGAGGCAGCGGCCCTCTCTTTCCCCATCTGGATCCCACAGAGGAGGCGACAGGCTACCCACCGGCGGCGACGACCCTCCCTTCCTCCCACCAGCACGGCGACCCTACTCCACTCTGATGGCGGCTGTGGTGATCGTCCCTGACCCCGACAGCGGCACTTCCTCCTCCCCTATGGATTCTACCGCGATTCCCTCCCTTTCTCCTCAGTGGTGGAGATGGGAGCAAGCCGCCCCCTCTCCCACCGATGGTCGCCCCGGTGCCCTCCCTTCCTCCCACTGACGGCACAAAGATTGTGGTGGGGAAAAGAGTCACGCTCGGATGCGGATGTGTGGAAGGGAAGAAGTGGGCGGTGGGGCGCCGATGCAGAAATAATTGATGAGAAATTTGGTCATTAGCCAGTTTTAGCTACCATTAGCTGGGTTGGAACAAATAATGTGATTAGTTGGTTCCCATTAGTTGGGTTTAGCGGTGGCCTGTAGCCAACTAAAATTTAGCTGGTGGTAAATACCCCTAGCCCCTAGAAGGAACACAATGACCACAAAGGTGAAATGTAAGAAATATGTTAAAAAGAACCGGTGTCAACCAAGACTCTAGAGGGTATGCCTCTCTCGCCATATGATCTTTTTTTCTTCCCCCTGTTCTCTCTACGTCTCTCACAAGCCAAACAAATATTACAAGATAAGACCAAATAAATATAGTTTGTTCAACACACGTAACAATTATCCAAATAAATACTACACCATCTTAATGGACCTCTTTGTGTTTCATGTACCCTATGGGTAACCATAGGTAAGATTTGATACCAGTATCCTACCCGTCTTAGTTTGAGTACCCGGCCCGATCTTGCCCGCGGACAATATCTCCCCACCCCCGTTTGGCCCGTCTAAAGTGCTAAGCACTTATTAGCACCAATCCCTCAATTAATGTATTTGAGTCTTGGCTAAAGTTTAGTACCACTCATTTGCACTCTTATTTGGATGTGTAGCTAAAGTTTAGCACTTAGATTCAACACATACTCTTTATACCCATACGTTTACTCATCCATAAGGGTCCGTGGGACCCCATCCCCACGTGTAGGATTGCCATCCCTTGTGGCTTAGGTGCATGCGCAGCATGAGAGGAGGGGGAGGAAAAAAAAGGAAGGGATCCTATTCTAAAGATGAGATTTGATGTTTCTAGAAGGGCTTGATATAATGTCGCAAAGAGTAAATCCAGCCAGCTTTTTTCCATCCTCGGGAGATTCGACGACTGAGACTAGTCATAGTGTGCTAATGCTCCAAAATATCATGTCATAACCGATGTTTCACTCTCATCTACTCAATCCATCCAAAATTGTAAGACGTTTGACTTTTTTGACACCAAGTTTGATCACTCGTCTTATTCAAAAATTTGTGTAAAATATCACTTCTTTCATCGTGGTTTGGTTTATTAATAAAAATTCTTCAAGAATGACTTAAATTTGACTATATTTGCACAAAATTTTTGAATAAGACGAATGGTCAAACTTGGGACAAAAAAGTCAAACGTCTTACAATTTCGGATGGAGGAGTAAGCCACAGTGTGAAGTGTGCCAATGCCTCAAATAGCAAGACAAACATCATTTTATTTCTCTCCCCTCGTAACTCTTGCCAGATCGCCATGTCACTTACAGATGGGACCACATATTCCCTTTCAAAGCAAACATCAATGCATCTACTTTCCTCGATGCCAAAGTTTTCGATGACTGAATTCTCTCCTGCAGTGGGCAAGCATGGAGGCTTAGATGGGAAAAAAAAACAAGTTTCAAGCATAGGTATTTCACCACGTGTATTTAGATAATATATATAGGGGAGTGAGGGGATAATAATAAATAAACCGATTAAAAAAGGAATTAGGCATACGCAGCCAGCCATCCAGGGCCCGAGGCCCCCGAGCCGAGCGCATGGCTCGCTGTTGGGGTTTCACCGGTTCACCTCTCTGGCCCATTCCCTCTCCCGTTCACCTTGCTCGACCCTTGGCCCGCCGCCTGGACTCGTCTCGCCCGCGGCCGTTCTCCTCCGTCCGCTCGCCGCGCCGCAACCCCGGAGAGGAGACTGCGCTCGGTCGAGCACCACCTGGGGCCCAGCGTCCTCGCGACCATCTCCGTCACGGCGTCCGCCCTCTGCAGCCCCGGTGTCCCTGCGACCGTCGCTGCTGTCCTACTTCGCCACTCGCCACTTTGGCCGGCGACGAGCACCACCAGGACACTAGGTATTCCCTCCCCTTGGTCCTCTCCCTTCCTGCTGTGCGAAGCCGTGCGCCCAAACCTTAACGTAATTCATAGGTAAAACCGTGCGCCCAAACCCTAACATACCATTCGTAATCGGATCTGAATCTAATTACAGGTGTATATGCATGTATTATGCCTACTAACTTCGATTGCTTTGCAAAAATTATTGGGTGTACATGTGTACACCCATGTCCTTTACTGGGTCCGCCCCTGCTGGTTGTAACTTGTAAGCTTCGCAATTTAGGTAATATTTGTTTCCTTTTGGGCAGGGTTCTGAAACTTCTTGCACTCCGAGGACCGAAATTCTGTGAATCAGTTGCAAAAAGTGTGGTTATTTGTGCTTTCCGAGGCGTGAAGAAATGGAATGCAACAGGGATGAGGCCCAACGGGCAAAGGATATTGCAAAGAAGAAGTTTGAAGCGAGGGACCTGCAGGGTGCCAAGAAATTCGCTCTCAAAGCTCAAACACTCTTTCCTGATCTCGACGGCATTGCTCAGATGGTTGCCACCTTTGATATCTATCTTGCTTCGGAGGTGAAGGTTGCTGGGGACAAGGACTGGTACTCTATCCTTTGTGTTGCCACGACAGCAGATGACGAAACAATCAAGAAACGGTACAGGAAGCTGGTTCTTCAGCTCCACCCTGACAAGAACAAGCAAGTCGGTGCTGAGGGTGCTTTCCAGATGGTCCAAGAGGCGTATACGGTGCTAAGCGACAAAACTAAGAGAGCAGTATATGACCAAAAGAGGAATGTAAGGGTATTCCAACAGAGGACAGCTCAATCAAGTAAGGCAAGTGCGCCTCCTGGTGCGTCTGATGGCTTCTATAATTTCGCAGCTAACGCTGCTGCTGCCTCCAAACCGACAGTAAACAAGCGAACAGCAGGACCGGCAGCACCTGCCGTGCGCCCGCGCCCACCTCAACCTCCACCACCATCTGGACCCACTCCTGCAGCTTCCTCTGCTACCCCTGCACCTGGGGCAAAACCTCCTACATTTTGGACCTCTTGTAACAAATGCAAGATGAACTATGAGTACCTTAGGGTGTATCTGGGTCAGCATCTTCGTTGCCCTAGCTGCCGTGAGCCGTTCCTAGCAAAAGAGGCACCAATACCACCAACTGGGACTGTGATACAGGATTCAAAGATCAGTGGTGTAAATCAAAATGCAAGCACTAACAGAAATATGCAGTGGGGTCCATTTTCAAGGGCTGCTGGTGCAGCTAGTGCCACTGCATCATCTGCTGCTGCTGCTCAAGCTGCTAATGCAGTTCATCAGACGTATGAAAAAGTTAGGAGGGAGAGGGAGGAGGCACAAGCAGCAGCAAGAAAGGAAGAGGCTCTTTGGCGGAAGTACAATCCTCTAAAAAGGCATGCAAGCATGTCAGATGTCTTTAATCCTGGAACAGGTGATCTTGCATCTGGAAAGAAGTTGAAGACTATGGTTAAAGATGCTGGAGTTGGTTCTTCATCTTTCATACCAGGTCCTGGAGCAAATTGTTTTAGAGTGCCCGGTGTGAATATATCTTTTTCAACCAACATTGGGGCCTATGAGTTTCAAGGCGTCAATGGTGGACCCAATTGGAAACCCAGGCCTCCAATCCACATAAGCTTAGCCAAGATCACCTCTCAGTTGGATGTTAGGGGTCTTCTGCTGGAAAAAGCGAAAAGTGGGCTGAGAAACAAGCTAACAGAAATTAAAAGTAAAACATCTCAAGTTGCTGCTAGTGGAAAAGCGACCAAGAAACATGTGGTTAATGAAAATGGAAGGGATAATGAAGCTCTCGCACCAGATGATCTTACTACCAATAAAGATGTTCATGTTGATCCAAAAGAAATTGGTTCTAATACTAGCTCAGATGCTGAAAATGAAGATGATGACCCCTTGTCTTATAATGTTCCTGATCCTGATTTCCATGATTTTGACAAGGATCGCACTGAGGAATGTTTTCAAATTGATCAAATTTGGGCTACATATGATGACGAAGATGGTATGCCTCGTTATTACGCGTTTATTCAGAAAATTTTCTCCTTGAAACCATTCAAGCTCAGAATAAGCTATCTTGAGTCAAGGACAAATAGTGAATTTGGGCCTTTGAATTGGGTTTCTTCTGGCTTCACAAAGTCATGTGGGCATTTCAGGACTGGTAAATATGAAACATGTGATATAGTCAACATGTTCTCACACCAAATGAAATGGGAGAAAGGGCTGCGTGGGGTAATCAAAATTTATCCACAGAAAGGTGACATCTGGGCTATTTATCGGAATTGGTCCCCTGACTGGGATGAAGATACTCCAGATAATGTGCTCCATGCTTACGATGTGGTTGAGGTACTAGATAATTATGATGAAGATCATGGCATCTCTGTTATTCCCTTAGCTAAAGTTGCCGGGTTTCGAACAATATTTGAACGCCATCAGGATCTGAATGGTACCATGAAGATTCCCAAAGAAGAGATGTTTCGGTTTTCACATCAAGTGCCTTTCTACAGGATGTCAGGCGAAGAAGCTCCAAATGTCCCCAAAGATAGCTATGAGCTTGACCCAGCTGCTATTTCTAAGGAACTTCTTCAAGGGACCACAGAAACAGTGGAGGCAAATGGAACTTCCTAATGTTGATTTAAGACAGTTGATGATGGTCTGCCTTGGTTGACCTGCCATTTTGAAGCAATCAAGCAAAAGTTGTTGACTCTAAGTTTTATAGTTTTCCTTCTACAGCTTTTGACAATTACCTTTGCATGGAAGGGTTAGAATGGGGCCAGTCATTGCTTCTGGTGTAATTAGGGTGCTCTGACATGAATTTTGTCGTGATACTATACTTAGTAACTCTAAATGTGGGTGGAGTACTAACATGAAGCTCATGTAGCAGTTTTTAATGCTGGTGTTCTTGAATGGATCTAATGTTTACTTTCTGGGAAATCAAAACGCCAATCAAACTATTATGTCATTTCCATTTGTTGGCTCTACTATATTAAAAGCACCCACATATTGTACATGATAACTAGCACGGCTTCGTTCCATAGTTGGTAAGTCCCTGCCTGCCGTGCTGGTCTGTGTGGCCACCGGCCAACGCATCAGTGTGTGGGTCTTTTGTGATAGCTTATGCTCTTTTTCGAAAGGAAAGGTCAAGTTGAGGTTCCAAAGTACACCTGTTATCCTTTTCTCTTCTTTCCTTAATTCAGAACTGTTCCTTAAAATATCAGGCTAAGTTAACCTGTGTTATTTTGCAGCAGAAGGCCATCAACATCATCCTCATACTGCATATCACCATCTCAAGGCCATCAAGGTACAAGAAATCAGTGCATTTCTGTCATGTTTTTGCTTCAGTTATGCATTTCATACCTACTCACCCTGCAAATTTCACGGATGTTTTTAGGCATTGAACTAGCTATTGTCATGTGGTCTGAAAACGAGCCCAGCAGGTTAGACTTTCTTTATTTCTTTCCTTTTTTACAGTATTTTTAGAGCTATTTTTTGTGTAAAAAGTGTGATAGATTGAGGGATTAAAAAGGGAAACCTACCTTTGCTATGAATTCCTGCTGCATGTTTAGGCAGTAATAGATGGGTTAAAGCCCCTAAAAGTCTCACTGTGATTACTAGGGATGAAATTGGTCGGAAACGATCGAAAATGTTCATTATCATTTCCTACCATATTTTTTTTCTCTCGGAAACAATTTTAACAACCAACACTCTACTACTCAATCGTACGAACATAGAAAGAATTTATGATTCCTGATTTACCATTGAAAAAGTTATAATGCCTCTTTGCCATCCCTAATGTAATTTTGTATTTCATTTTATGTCCTTCTCAGAAGCCTAAAGGGCCTCCACGTGCTTTCTATCTCTATTAGGGGCAATACCGTAAAATAGCAAGATATTTGCGTCTTGTGTACTTTCTCTCACGTTGACTCAGTTTTTCTCTCTCTATCCCATGAGCATGCCTCTCCGATGCAGCATTCCAGCAGCATGCCCGCGCAGTTGATAGCAGGCTGGTAGCATGTGGCGGGGTAAGCGGTGCAGGTCGCCCATAATATTCATCCCTAGTGATTACAGTGCTTCAGTAAATATTCATCCTCTGCCTGTAGTCCTGTACCCGCCTTTCGCCCATCACGGTCAATTAGAGTCCATATAAGCTTTTGATGCTGTGCTGGTGTCAGATTAAGATTCTGTCCTCTTTTTGCGCATTCATGCATAATCTCAAACTTTGTTTGTGCAATATTTTTTACAAATCTTGAAGCTGATAGTAACATGTTTTTAATCTTTGTTAATGAGAACAGATGCCCAGCTTGGACGCTGGCGCTGAGGGCTGTACTGTGAGGCCCCACCAGAACAAGGACGTGGAGCGCCTCATAAACTGCTTCTGACAGTGTGGTGCGGTCCAGGGTAGGAGACTGATGTTCTCCCTGTCCTCTATGTTTCAGCAGCTGTGGAAATCTAGCCTTTAGGTAGGTTGTCTGCTTTGAGATTGCAACAGGGTATTTGAGTTGTCTGTGGTTCTTTTTGTCCTTTTTTTGGGTGAGACATAGCTACATAGGAATAACCATTGTATCTTTGCATAGAATCAGATTCCAACTTAGCCTGGATCTTGTCTGATATGCAGAAGCTATGTCAGGAGCATCTTGCCCTGCCTTTCATCAAAGGGTGATGGACCTGTTTTCTAGTTAACAGATGAGGTCCTATGAGAAAAGAGGGCATCACAGGTTGACTACACAAAGCAACGGATCCTGCTGATGAGACAAGTAGAAACAGGTACCTCCCAATTCACCTTTAAATCCTAAACCAAAGGTATTTCACGAAATTGTATTGCAATGTATTATACCATAGATGGCAACACATATATAACACATATTGTGAACGTAAGGAAAAAACAATAACTTAACCAACAGTCCGGTTCAGTATAGGAATATAAGTAAGGAAACATGGTCAGTACACGCATGCTAGTCACCTCTAAATCCTAAATCATAAGCATTTCATAAAGCTCTATTATCCATATATTTCTAAAAAGTATTTCTAGCCATGATATGTTTATATTCCGAGCAGATGGACGGTTGACAGACTGATTTCAGTGACGGTAGTGTTTATAATCTGTCTAAAAGAAATACGTTGAGTACTCCCACTTGTCTTCAGCTTCAATAATCCAATATGTTGCACACAAAAAATTCTGTCATGATCCAGTCCTATATATATATTTATTTTTCATTTGGAGTTCAATCCAAATTTGATTCAAACCTTTGAGTGGAATTTCTGATTTTCGTAAAACTCGCTCATTTCACTAACCTTTTATAAACTTCAAACTAAAATGTTTTCTGTGAATAAAGTAGCACTAATATATTATGTGTTGTAGATTATGTTCCTTTTATCATTCCAAGTTTTAAAAGGAATTTTTACTGAAATTTTAAATGCAATTTCCATAGTGTGTGGATTTTGTTCATTAGGGTGACAACCAAATAAAACTGAAACCCAAAATATGATAGCTGAGTACACTGACTACAGTTGTACAAACATAATGCTATGAGTTCTGTATCTGGATTTTCCCTCTTTTTGCTCATGACTTATTGTATGCAAGGTTGGAAGAGAATACTTGCGTTGAAAGATGAGGTGTATTGTACAAAGCCCCTCATGTGTTTAGTTTGTTTATACTACAGGCACGGTTTCCATGTGTTTTGATTGTTATATTAGACCTCTGTAACAAAGATGCCATATGCAATGGATACTGAGGTGACAAGGGGAAAAGAAGCATGGCTAAATCAAAGTACCAGTAATTCTCAATTTTCTAAATAAAGTACTAGTAACTCTCAGATCTCTAGGAAAAAAAGGAGGCATTGGATTACAGCATGGGGATGCTGAGTTTTGACCTTTCCTCACTGGAAACTTGAGAGAGGAGAATGGTGAAGGGCATCTAGCCATTTGCATATATACTCCCTGTTGGGTGCTAACAGTACATCTGTTCCTTCTCTCATCTTGTAGGGTGCTAACAGTATCACCCAACGGCTAGAGCTGCCCTGCTCCCTGCTGCTTTGTTGTTGTGCCTTGCATTGGCCTGTCGGGCTGATGTGGCGAGGAAGACGGTTGGGGTCTATGAACTCAAGAACAAGAAGGGAGATTTCTCCATCAGGTCACCAACTGGGGAGCCACCCTCATGTCTGTTATTGAGTCCCTGATTCCGAAGGTACGGTTCCCTTGCTTCAAAATTCATGCTGCATATCGTTTCGTGATACAGTGCATGACGCATGACAAGCTTTGCATGTTTCTTGTTGTGTAGGGGAACTTGGCTGATGTCGTCCTTGGGTATCACAACCCTTGCAGAGTATGTGGTAATGTGAACAAATCTCTGTTTTTACAGTTGCAGAGTCTTATGGATCTAAAAGATGCTTGTAGCTAATCTGCGTAGGAGCAGTGCGCTTGGGCCAGTACGCAGATGCCTGACCGCTTCTACACGGAAGGTGACCGAGCGACGACCTCAGTCCACGGTCAATTGACCCATCTGCAGTATCCTCTGCATCCACCTACGATAAAACTCGGACTCCAGAACTGATATATCCTGCCATTCTCTTCTAGCATAGCGTCATTATTGTCGAATGGTTGCTACCATGCATCGCCTAGCTGGTGCCATGCTCGTGTTGCTCTGGTGCTGCTGCTGCTTGTTCCTTGCCACGCATGCACATCAGCAGCAGCAGCTCCAGCCAGCCGCCGGTGGAAACAGAGCGAGCCCGAGCTGCATACCGCACGAGAGGGATGCCCTGCTGGCATTCAAGCACGGCGTCACCAGTGACCCTGCAGGCCTCCTCGACTCGTGGCGGTGAGACGGCGAGCAGGACTGCTGCCGGTGGAGAGGCGTCCGGTGCAGCAACCGAACTGGCCACGTCCACGAGCTTCGACTTGGAGGCACAGCTGGCAACTTCCAAGCAGATTAGGTCGGCCAGATAAGTCCTTGTTTGCTTGCTCTGGATCATCTGGAGCACCTTGACCTCAGCTGGAGTGATCTAACAGGGCCAAGTGGTCATCTTCCCGAGTTCTTGGGCTCTCTAAAGAGTCTCACCTATCTTAACCTCTCTGGCATACCATTTTCCAGCAGTGGTGGTGTGCCTCCCCAGCTTGGAAACTTATCAAAGCTGCAGTATCTGGATCTTTCCTCTACGTATATGTTTGGCACAAACTCAACGAATCTATCATGGTTAGCACGCCTTACTTCCATCCAATATGTTAATCTGAACCAAATGAATCTCTGCACAGTAGTGGATTGGCCTCATGTCATGAACATGCTTCCTTCTTTGAGGGTCCTTCATCTTTCCACATGCTCTCTTGCGAACGCAAACCAGTCACTGCCACACTTAAACCTTACAAACCTCGAGGAGCTGGATGCCTCTTGGAACTCCCTCAACCATCCAATGGTGTCCAGCTGGTTCTGGAACATAACAAGCCTCAAACGCCTCAACCTCGACTCCACCGGCATGTTCGGTCAATTTCCAGATGCACTGGGCGACATGACATCCCTTCAAGTCCTTGATCTTTCAGGTAATTATTACTATGACGACGATGCAAAGAACATGCGCGTCATGACCGCAGGTATGAAGAACCTATGCAATTTGGAGGTGCTGTACATTTCTTCGTCTCACTTACACGGAGATGTAATTGAGCTGTTCAGGAACCTGCCTCGCTGCTCACCTAACAAATTACAAGAGCTTGACCTCAGTCAGAACCAATTAACTGGGATGCTACCAAGATGGATAGCGCAGTTAACAAGCTTGGTCGTTCTGAATCTAGGTTGGAACAACATCACCGGATCTCTCCCAACATCTGTAGGTCAATTTGCTGGTTTGCAGACCCTTGATCTCTCTCACAACAACCTGAACGGGAATGTCCCATATGAGATTGGTGTGCTCAGTAATCTGACCCATCTGGGCCTAAATAGTAATAAATTGGATGGCGTGGTAACGGAGGAACACCTTGTTAGTGCAAGGAGCCTGAAATACATAGACTTGTCTTATAATGCCCTGAAGATTGAGATCAGCTCAGACCGGCAACCACCATTTAGATTAGATACCGCATACTTTGCATCCTGCCAGATGGGCCCACTCTTTCCTAGTTGGCTTAAGTGGCATGTGAACATTATCAATCTTGATATCTCGAGTGCAGGTATAGCTGATAGGCTTCCACAGTGGTTCTCCGATGCCTTTTTAAATGTCGAATTCATGAACATCTCAAACAATCAACTCAACGGAACATTGCCAACTGATATGGGCTCCATGCCGCTTCTAGACCTCTATCTCAATTCGAACTAATTAAGTGGTCAGATACCCACACTGCCACCAAACATAAGTAACCTGTACTTGTCCAACAACTTCTTGTCGGGTCCTCTGCCCTCTGCTACTAGATCCGCCAATCTAAATCAGCTATCTCTGTTCTCCAACCAAATCACTGGTCATATTCCTGAATCTTTTTGTAAATTTCAAGCATTGTTTGTTTTGGGCTTATCCAACAATTTTTTGGAGGGAAAACTTCCGTCATGCCTCGAAGTAATGGAAAGAATAGGATTTATGGTCTTTAAGTAACAACAGTTTGTCTGGAGAATTCCCATCTTTTGTGCAAAACTTTACAGATATGTTTGTCTTGGATTTGTCTAGGAACAAATTATCTGGAGAATTGCCAATGTGGATTGGAAAATTAACATCATTAATAATTCTACGCTTAAGTCACAACAAATTCTGTGGAAACGTTCCTGTGAACATCACAAATCTTGCTTGCCTTCAGTACATGGATCTCAACAACAATAAGATATCAGGCTCTTTGCCGATCTACCTTTCAAATCTGAATCTGAAAACAACAAGAAAGACTTCCATGACAGATGGGTGTTATCCTATAATTATGTATGATCCCCCTTTAATATTGAATGACCCTTTAGACCTTAGTAGTTTCTCTACGGTCTTGAAGGGGCAGGAATTGAACTACGGTTCCATCAATGGAGTTCTGGACACAAGTATGATGAGCATTGATTTATCTTCTAACAATTTAACCGGCGAAATTTCAGAAGAAATAGTTTTCCTTGATGGTTTAGTGAATTTGAATCTGTCAAGGAACCACTTGAGCGGAGTTGTTCCAAGCAAGATTGGGGAAATGCAATCGCTTGAATCACTGGACCTCTCGAGGAACAAGCTATCAGGCGAAATACCCGTCAGTCGGTCAAATCTAACATTCTTAAGTTACTTGGACTTATCATACAACAATCTTACCGGAAGAATTCCATCGGGGCCGCAGCTTGATACCCTGTATGCAGAGCAAGGTGGCCTGGGAAGAACTGAAGAAGGTCATGGGATACAATTCTTCTATCTTGGGCTCAGGTGTGGCTTCATAGTTGTTACATGGGTGGCATTTGGTGTTCTGTTGTTCAAGAGAAGCTGGAGAATTACTTGCTTTCGACTCTCAGACAAGCTGTACGGCAAAGTTTATGTCCTTGTTGCTTTATGGGCAAGATCAAGAGAAACAGGAACTGATCGCCACGCATGAAGCAAAGGCGATGGTCTGTGCTTCAACTGAATTTGGCCAATGCGTGCATGCATGAAACAAAGTGTATGTAGAAGTTGTTACATAATATCGCTGGTTTTCTTTTTGGAATGAAATGTAATATCCACACCCTTTGGCGTAAGAAAGTGTATGTAGAAGTTGTTACATAATATCGCTGGTTTTCTTTTTGGAATGAAATGTAATATCCACACCTTATGATGACATGGCCAAATTAAATAACAATAACAATTCTTCTTCGAGCTACATGCTTATGTTGAGCACAGCTTGCCCTGTTTTGGGGTCGGATTCTGCCTCTGTTTGCTTACTCTGTTGTGGTGCCATGTTTTCATGTTCGTCGTCCACATCAAGAAAGGCTCACATGACCATTGTTTCCATGCTTGTCGTCAACTGTTAATTGCTGAGGTGAGAAAGAGGTGACTACATTTATGTTCATTGCAGAACTAGGACAACTTACAGACACACATAATATCCATATCCACATTAAATGTCATGGTTAATTGCTCTGGTTGTTCTAAAAAAAAGATGGATCCAGCAGTTCAAAATCGGTTCTTCCTGTGTGGTGTTGCTTAGGCAGATGGATTGCACTGGAATTCAGAAGTTTCTTTGCTGGCAGAACATTGTTTTAGTTCGGAGATTGTATGATTGAGCGGCCCTCCTCTCATGTCCTGCCAGTTTCTTAAAAAAAAACAGTTGCATACTCAAAGTACACTATAAGTAACATTCGCTTACAAATATTGAACAGGTAACGGGAGCAAATTTCTCATAAACTGAAGAGCGCAATATATGAGCACAGTTTCCGTGGTGGAGTACACTGCTACAGCAGGAGTTCCACTGCCTACTTGCCTAGTGACGAACATGCAAGGTTTCTTGTATTCTAGACGAACAAAACAAACTGTCACATCGATCGCCTGTACAATCTAATGCAAAACAGTCTATGGTGGTCGTCTCACTGATGAGACCGACGACACTGAGTTCTCGGAGGCACAGGACCCCACTCTTTTAATCGTCTTAGGCCCCGTTCACTTCCCTGAAAAAACAAGCTGAAACACCGTTTCAACTAATTTGTTGTGAGAGAAAAATATTGTTCTGACTAAAAAAGATAAGCCGAAAAATACGGATTATAAGACAAGCGAACACGGCCTTATCATCTCCTGTGCTTCAAGCGCTTGATCACCACGATCTGATGCTGTACCTGCTCCAACCAGTCGCTGATCTTTTCGAACTGTGAGAGAAGCGTCGGTGTGTCGCTGCTGTGCTTCCACTTGTTCTCCACATCCAGTGCCTCCACAAAATCCAGGAACCATCTTTGCATCTGGCCGCACAAGTCCTTGGCAAGCTCAGCCGTCCTCTCCTTCGCCGTGCTCTTTGTCTTGGGTGCATTTGGCAAGCTCAGCTCGTGGACAACATGAGTACCACCACCGATCCAGTACTTAGTAGCTGATAGCTCCACAGATGCCACCGACTCCGCGACGTCCTTCCACCGAAGCGTATCTTTGTAGACACCGAGGAAAGGATCAACTGTTGGGAGTGGATCGGAGACCTTTGCCGAATCGCAGATATCAGAGAATTCGCTGTGTGGGCAGCAGAAATGAACAGGACATTAATTATCACACCACTAATTTCTGCTGCACAAATACAATACAATACACTGGGCATTCGTCCTTTAATTTGAATGGAATTGTACATTGCGTTCGACTCGGATCTGGGGAAAAATAGATGTCTCTAAATATATATACCTTTCATTCCTGAGAAGTGAATCAAAGATTGATGCCTCTTGCAGTACGCTAGCTGCAATGGTTGCTGTTGCGTCTCTTCCTTCAGCAAGTTCCTTCTAAATTTTGTAAGGAAATTATATTAGATAGAAAAAACTCAAGTCAGGAACTCCGTACAGCACGGAGATTGTGAGGCCAACAACAAATTAAACTACAGCTGCCTATCTTTCTGATTTCCGATGAAATCCTGCCGTCCCTTAGTCGCCTCAACTTTGCTTCCTGATAATAGAGACGACGACGAAGAAGTGTTTAATGAAAAGGTGCAGAATAATGTACCCTGAACAAGGACACCAATACTTTCTATTGTGATTCTTCATATATATATATATATATATATATATATATATATATATATATATATATATATATATATATATATATATATATATATATATACTTTCTATCGTGCATATGCAAAATGGTTATCCAGCAGCCATGCTACCGAGTAAAATGGAGAGAAAATAACCACAACTATGAACCAGAAAATGACTAATAATACACCATTATGTAATGCTATATGTATGTTTGAAATTTCAAACCAGTTGTGTAATATGTAAAATCGTTGCCAGGATGTTTTATACTGGTACAAAGAAAAAATCGGCACCTGCCGATTAATGCGGAATTTCAGAACAAATTTAAATAAATTCAAATTTAAGCAATTTCGGCACCACGCTTGGACCGCAGCTTTTCTCCATGTATGTAATAGTCATAGATGGCACCAAAGTTTTAAATCTCTGGATATAATGTCTAGGCAGATAAAATGCTAGGATAATCAACTTTTAGCGCTATGTGATTTTTGGCGCTAATAGCGGCCCTTAGGGCGGTCTCCAACGATTGGCAAAATGGAAGCGCGCAAATCCATCAGCGCCAGGTTTTTGCGTCCTAAATCAAGCTCCAACGGAGGCGCAAAAAGGTAGCCATTTTGCCTCAAGAAGCGAGCCGGAAGGCAAAACAGCGGCTGTCTCTTTCAACAGCCAAAAAAAACATGGTAGACGGAGGCGCTGGAGTATAGATCTGCCAGGCAAAGAGAGAGGAGGAAGGAACAGCTAGCCATAAAGCACACACCGGATACAACGCCCCAGCGGGCGCCACCGGATCTCGGTTCGGGGAGGAGGCCCGCGCCGCGCAGCTGGGACGGATCCGCCGCCTTTCGCCGGGAGGAGAGGGGAGGGCAGTGGTCGGAGGAGAGGCGCGGCCTAGATCCGCCGGGGGCCCGTCGGAGGAGAAAGAAGGATTGCTTGCTCTGGACCGATCCGCCGCCCCTCGGACGCCGTGCTCGAGGAGGAGGGAGGGGTCGCGGTGCGACGGGGAGGAGAGCTGCTGCTGATCCGGCCGGGGAGCCGGATCAAAGATGGGTCGCTTTCAAGCTCTAGGGCCGCACTGCGCTGGCTTTCGTCGCCAGCTGCCGGCCGTCCATTCGGGAGATAGAGGAAGGGGCAGCGACGAGGAGGGAGGGGCGCCATGTGCTCACGATGAGGGGCAGGAGTGACAACCAATTTTGCAATTTTGAGAAGGGAAAGGTCGGCGGTGGATGGGCGTGGATCTGGGTCCGTCGGTTGGAGATGAGATATTTGCGTCCATGACGTTTTTTTTATTGTAGATGACCTATAACACCGAATGGGTATCGTATTTGGGTCCTCTTCGTTGGAGTGGACTAAATTGGCTAAATGGAGAAGACTTAGCGCCGGGCGCCGGCTAAGCAGTGCCGCATGCAAATGGGCTGAAATGAACATGGGTTTCTCAAGATTTCGTCACATCGGGGGCCCAAAGCAGCCATATAGGAGGGACTGGAGTATAGATCTGCCACAGGCCCAAAACAGCTAGCCATAAGAAGCACCGGCGATTTGGGCAGCGGGCGTCGACCGGTTCGCGGACGGTGCGCAGCGCAGTTGCTGGGAGTGGCAGCAATCGCCGGCGGGCTGAGCAGTGGAGGCCGCTCGGCCGGGGGCCGTCCTGATCGTGGGCACGGATTGCTAATGCAGGCCGGCGGCGACGGGGCTAGCTGCTGCTGGGCGTGGATCAGGATGGCGGGATCTGATGTATGGTGTTGCCGGCGTTGGTAACACAGACACGGAGCCACCATATGGCCGAGCAGGAGTGACAACCAATTTTGCAATTTTAGAAAGGGAAAGGTCCAATTTTCATACCAGGTGCTTGGATGTCACCGTTCTTGGAGTGCCCCTGATCGCCGGCGTGGCTGTTTTTACGGCGGAGCGAGACGCCCGCGAGGCAGCCGCAGCTTTCACGGACGACGACGTGGCCCCCGGCGTGCGGATGCCCCTGACCAGCCGCGGGGCGCTTTTTCCAGCGAAGCGGGTGGGATAAAATGAAGCAGGAGGGTCAGGGTGTCGCTCGCCGAGTGAGGCCTGAGAGATGAGAGCGCCGCCGCCGCGCCGCTTGCACTATTTCAGGTGTGGAGGTTGTTACGCGAGCGACCCTTGATTCCCTGCTGTCAGCGGATCAACGTCTCCAACGGTTAGAGCTCATCCGGGTCTCCTGCGTCGCCCACGTCCTGCGCTCCCGAGCGCTCGCCCCGCCAACTGCCTCCAGAGAGCGCGCTCTGCCGCGCACACACGCGCGCCCGGTCTTCACGGCGCCCACTCTCCGCTCTGGGCGCTCGCCCACTCACGCGTGTGTTGTGTGTGTAGTCATGGCCAAAGGCCATTGTAATCTATATATGTATGCCGTATACGATCAATGCAAGTCATGATCATCTCCATTCTACACCTGCATGCGTGCCAACTAAGGGCAAGGCCAAGGGGGGATCGGATCCATCCATTTCCATGCAGAGGATCCCGGGTGCCCAATAATTGTTTTGTGAGAGCCCTCATGGCTCGTGATCATCATTCCATTGACCTCCACCTGACGGGTCCCATTCCGTCTTGGGCGCATGGATGCATGAGCATGATGAAAATAAAGCAGTGTTGGCATCTCCTTCCCGATCTGCTTCCTTCTCTGCTTCCAATAAGTGGGTGTTAATTTCCTTGAGCGCCTCTGGCAGGCGGTCTCTGAAGTCCGTGCGCACCTGCATTTCTGCTGGGGAAAGACCACGAACTTCTTCGAAGGTGTCAACTAATTGGATTAAGAATTTACAATTTGGAATGATATAGGGTGGCGCCCTGAAACGCCTTGACCAAACCTTGGCGGCAGATCGTGTCGACTTGATGATGCACGCGGCAAGCATACCAGCAGCGTCACTGCGTCAGCACAGGGAAAAGCATGTGTCCAAGCCGGGAGAACCGAGGGGAGGAAAGAAGAGTCATGCAGCAGGCAGGCCCTTTCAAACTGAAATAGGTTGGCATTGTCAAGAAAATAGGGGTGGGTGTGATAAGAGGTTGGGCGGTGGTAGGGAAGGGCGGACAGGGTACCAGAGGGGAAAGACATGTTATGGTTGAGGTTTGTGAAGGCACGATCAAGGCGTGCAAGAATGGGGTTTGGTTGTTGATTGGTCCAGGTGAAGCGTTTTCCGACCAATGCAAGCTCACTTCTTCGAGACCAAGGTCGTGTTTTGAATGAAAGAGGATATGTCCTGAAGCTTAGATTCTTGAATGCAGATTATCGAAGGAGCAGCAGAGGTAACAGCGTCACGAACGATTGAGCACTTATCCGGGTCGCCTAAGCCTCGAACATTCCAAGATAAAACAGAAAAGTTTCTTGAGTTGCTAAACATTTAACAACTGAAACAGACTCCCAGGGGCTGCAACACCGAGCAAGCCCCAGACAGGTACGAACTGAAACTTAAACACAACTACCACAAACTGACGACTGACGCCAACTAAAACCATCAAGGACCAACACTACAGATGGTACAAGATGCATGGAACAAAAGCCCGGATACAGACACAAATAATAACTGGCAGAACATACACCGTCTTGGTCCTGCCGGAACGAAACAAAGCCTTCCCATCATTCAGCAACATCTGTCACCACGCCAATGGAGGCCGGAGAGCGGCAGCCCAGACCTGCTGCTGACACAAGCTTGCGGAGATCAGACACTCCCACTGGCAGTTTGCTACGCGAATGTTGTTACGCTTGTTGGCTTGTTTCTTCAGGCTAGCAGAGACGGCCGACGGCGCGGGGTCGGCGACGACGGCGATGGGGTTCTTGGGGCCGACGGCGGTCCTCTTGACGGCGGTCTCTGCCTCGTTGGCGTTGGGACTGCGAGCGGAGGCGGAGGAAGCCATGTGGGCCGTGGGCTGTGGGGGCGGCGATTGCGCGAAGGGGTGGCAGTGGAGGTGGACGGCGAGCGGGCGAGGTGCGGGCGACGGCTGCTGGCCTGCTTTACAATGAAGCAGTAGGGTCAGGGTGTCCTGAGATCAGAGCGCCGCCGCGGGCCGCGGCGGTTGCATTCAGGTGGTGTTTGTTACGCGAGGCGAGCGCCCCTTCATTTCCTGCATGCGTACTACTGTATATAATGTAATGTCAAGATCGAAGAATTTAACATCAAGTAGTTATGGAAACTCAAACGGCTCGAGGTGAAAATCTAGACATTTTACTACAATCTGTATGTAACGTACGTAACTCTCCTGCGTGTTTTTGAAGAAAACAAAAACAAAACTTCAGGATATCTATATCATAGTGTCACAATCTGCACAAATAAAGAATATGAAAGAGCTTAATCTACTGGATCATTCCCAGGACCTCTGTTCAATGTTAAAAACTGCATTGGACCATCCAACATTCACTGGCACGGAAGCTCCACCCAGCTCAGGATCAGCAATCATCAGTGTCCTCTCTTCGTCTGATGAATTCAATAACCATTAATATGGCGACAAATCCAACCGGCGAAGGACACCATACGGCCATGGTAGTGTGCAATTCCATTTCATTTAGTTGATAGAAAAAATTCTAAAAGAAAACAAAGAAAGTACATTAGCCCAAAAACAACCAAAGGAGAGTTAACTTCTAAACTTTTTACCTAATGATGATCCTGAATCAACTACAGATTACAAATATAAACTACTACCATTAAATGCTTCACTAGTCAAAATATGTTCTATAGAACTTTTCTTGAAACGTTAGTATTGAATGCCAATTATGAGGACATAGTAGTAGGGTCCTCACAAATATCAACGTTTAATTTCAGTGCTCAGATTTTACACTTCGCTTGTTGACACCAAAATTTGGCACGCTTCCCCTAGAAAGGAAGGAATCGGCTGATAATGTTTTGAGTAACATGTTTATGGTTAATCGGCCAAAATAATAAGTTTGTAATGCTTTTGTGGCCGATTTGAAGTAGCTCATAAATGCGTGCCAGCCAAGATCTACATGCATAGAAGAAAGATACATCGGAGGTTGAGCGACGTCGATGCACAGTCCGTTTGTTACACGAAGACAGCGTCCAGATGGGAGCAGCGTTATTTTCCGAGGACGTCCATGCAAGGAAAGTAAAAGGGGCTCGATCAATATTGATTTGATTATATCCGGCATGAGAGGCAAACGTGCAAGATAAAATGGCTGGTTGCATGTGTGTGAGTATGTGAAGAAACTAAGGCAAAGCAAAACCACAATATAGAAAGATATACATGAGGCCCGTGGTTGCTTGCTTTGGTAAAAGAAGTTACATGCACGCAGGATCAGGCAAGGAAGGAATATATGAGCAAAAGCATGCAGGTATATATTTGCTAGAGGGAGAAATCAAGAAATATACATATATACGTATACGTGACTATATGGAACTTCGTGGACATGACTGTGGAAGAGAAGGAATATTTTATCAGGACGAACTCTGCGTCCAGGTGCACATCAAGATGAGAGAAGCAAGGAAACGTATCATGTATATGTGTATACAAGACCGGCTAGGTGTCATACACGTACTCAGCAAAATGACGTGTATACGCACAAAGACTTAAGACACGTCGGCCAAAGAAGCTTTATTAGCAAGGATTCTACGTAGCCTGTTCGTTTGGCTGTGGCTTGTCGTAAATGATCGTAAATTTCCAGCCGGAACAATATTTTTCTCTCACACAAACCAGCCAGCCACGCTTTAAATCTTATGATTGATGGCTTATTCTGCTAGATCGGCTGTTCTATCTCTATTTCAATCGAACATAGTATGCATTCAAAAACATGTTTTAATCTTGAATGAACTCACTAGTTAATGAGATCTAATCTAATGACACTACCATAGCTGCATCGATCCGGTCGAACCTCACTGGTAAGACTTTAGATTAGAAATTATTGATTAGAGGTTTTGTTCATGATCGAGATATGTACTCTGTTTGTTTGCTATGCCTGCATCGGCTATTTTAGCCGATTGCCTATACTCTCACACATATAGCATGTTTTCATGAATCTGTTGACATATAGATGGTTTTATAGATTCTTTGACTTTAGTCTGTTATCATTATCATAGTTGCATCGATCCAGTCGAACCTCACTGTTGATGATAATAGATTAGATTCAGATTGTTTATGGATTCATTTATGGTAAACAGTCGATTGTTCGCATGTTATACTCTTTTCATCAAACTTATTGGCTCAACGCTTTTATACTGATCATGTTATATTTAGCCGATAATGTTTTCTTATATCGCTTTATTGCTGGATGTCGACTCTGTAGTCGATGACCATATCAATCAGCTATTTGGCCACATATTGGAACTGGTACAACACCGACATGTTCCACCTTAAACTACTGATTATTCTGTCCTTGTCAATTGCAGGGTCAAATTGACCGGCACGCCTTTAGTCCCGAAACCGACCGTTCTTATATTGAAGCTAAGCAGATCTTCGGGTTCACTCCGTCAAGATCATCCGGCTTGCTATGTGTTGATCACATCGTCATATTTTTTGTGTCAACACCGACATTTATATATGGAACAATGTTTTCATCTTACAGTCCAATTAGAATGCAACTGTCAGTCTACCAGATGGCTTGATGATGGAATACTTGACATTCGGTTGGTTCTTGTGTGGTGTTGCCTTCAGTGGATGTCATTCAGGACCCGGGAGTTTCTTTGCTGTTGGTTTGTTCAAAAATGTTACATCAGTTGCATACTCAGAGTAAACTCAGCAGCATTCACGTATGCACATTGAGCATTCAAGCAGAACAAGGAGAAGAGTGAATTTCTCAGAAATTGAAGAACCCAAGAAATGGGCGTGCTGTTTTCCTGGCGCTGTATCACTAGTTTACAGAAAAGGCATCTCTGTTTTTTGTGTTGTACTGCACACCCATCCAATGGACTGAGTACCAAAGGAAACCACTGCCTAGTGAAAACTGAAAAACATGACTTGGAGATACTACTCCAGACACATTTGACAAGATGACTTTTGCTTGCAGCAGCATGATTGTCTTTACCGTTGCATATGCCTTTTGCTTTGAAAGGGCATAATCATCTCAATCGGTGCATAGTCACAGCTCTCAGTACGACGGCTGACATGGACATATGGTCACAAACTCACAGCAAAATGCAAACTGAACCAAGAAATGGTGATAGCCTCGCTCTCTTCATAATCATACCTGACAAACCACACATAAGGCAGTCCATAATGATAATAAAGGATGTACCCAGTGCAGAGAGCTCCCGCTCTGTGCGGGATCTGGGGAAGGGTGTCAGGTGGCGAGCCTTACCCTCGCCTGTGAAATACGAGGAGAATACGATAATTTATTCACATGACGAAACAAGTCATAAATTAGGCACCCCAAAAGAAAACAAAGAACTGCACCAACAGGCTACATGATTGTGCAACCTTTAAATCTTAACAATTTGAAGAACCAATGTGAACAGAAACTGTGAGCAGCAAGCTTCAGAGCATGAAGCATCCCCTCAACTTCTGGAAGAAACCGAGACAGAGCTCTCGAATGCAGACCCCATGTGGCTAATGACAAACCCATAGATCTTGCGCTTCAAGCACTCGATCTTCTCCTTGGTCCTCTCCTCCTCTGCAATCTTCCCTACTTGGTCCAACCAGTCGCTGATCTTCTTGAACTGTGAGAGGACCATCGTTATGTGGCTGCTGTGCTTTCCCTTGCTAGCGACATTCTGATCTTCGAACAGGTGGAAGCCCACATCCAGTGCCTCGTCCACAAAAGTCAGGAACCACGTATGCATCTCACGCCACAAGGACTTGGCAAGCTCAGCTGTCTCACTCGTGCTCTCGGTGTTACTCCATGTGCACCTCAGTGGAGAGCTTGGTGCAACCTTAGACTGCACTTTTGCTGAAGCTCCATGTGTTGGCTTCTTCGACAGGTTTGTTCTTGGTGGTTCCACTGAAGATGCATTTGGCTTGTTGGTGCTCCTCGTCCGAGAGAAGGATCCAGTGGCACCATTCAGCAGCTTGAGGACCTCAAGATCAGTGGCTAATGCAGCGCCAACCCAATGCTTAGTTGATTTCTCGAAGAATTCCTCTTCAGCCCCATTGGTCACCATAGACTCAGAGATGGTCTTCCATTTGAGAGTATCCTCGTAGACAACCAGGAAAAGATCGACTGTTGGAAATGGATTGAAGACCTTTGACGAAGCGCAGATTTCAGAGAACTTGCTGTAGGCAGAAATAAACAAGTTATTATCACACCACTTTTCTGCTGAACAATAGGCAGAAATAAACAAGATATTATCGCACCACTTTTCTGCTGAACAAATGCACTGGTTTTGATTTTAGACAGGGAAAATATATGTGTCCAAATACCTTATATTCCTGATTACAGATTCAGAGACCAATGCCTCTTGCAGGGCGCTAGCTGCAGCAGTTGCTGCTAAATCTCTCCGTTCAAAAGCTTCCTGAAATTCAGTAGAGATTATATTAGAAACTCAAGTCAAGTCAGGAACACTAAATGGAGACTGAGCCAATAAAATAGAGTTGCTTACCTTTCCAATTTTTGAGAGTTTATCAGGAATTGCATCCAATGGAATGCTGCCGTCAGTCCATTTAGGATCGTGAAGTATAATTTTTGGAGCTGTGGTTTTTGCCTTTACTGAGGTAGATTCTATCTTCTTACGAGGCTTTGGCCTCTCATCAACAGATGAATCGTCATTACTGGATTGTTCCGTTGTAGCATCACTTAGTCGCCTCGACATTGCTTCCTGATGATAGAGACAAAGAAGAAATGTTTAATGCACAGGCACAAAACATTCTACTATACACTACAAGGACACGGCTTTCTGTTGTACACAGGCAAAATGGATTTATCAACCATGCTACCTAATGATATGCAGGAAAAAAAAAATCAGACTCTGAACCTGAAAATGACCAATACACCATTCTATATATATATATAGAAATTCCAAACTAACTGTAACAGTTATGATCCATGTGCTTGGAATTTTCTTTCAACTAATTTGTAGTCATAGCACCAATTTTGCAAATTAAGCAAACATTGCGACAGAACTGTTCACAGTACATATCTATTTGAAAATGGTTATTACTGAAAGGATCATAGTTAACCACGGTTATGATTTTCTGAGCCAACAATTAAGGTTATACAGTCACTTCATACTTCAGTTTTTTTCCCAACAATGTTTCTTTGTCTACTATCCTATCCATATCCAACACCATCTAGCTATGTCAGATCTTAATTTGCATAACCAAATCTGACCAAGGCTATGATCCTATGAATCAAGTATGCTGTTCAATGTTCATGGTTAAGTCATACTTTGGGTTTTCCCTAGCATGAATTTGGCAGTCATCCGTTTATAATCCCATCTGAGTGTACCTTGGAAGATCTTTCGTTTGAACGACAATACAACACACCCAAATGGTATACCTTCAAGTTCAAGATCATTTTCGATTAATACGGTTATAACGCTTCAGAAAGAGTTATTTACTACTACTATTCCAGTCACAATGCAGGCAGTGATAGAATTATATTCCTCGAATTATCAGATGGTTATCTTGACAGTCTCGACAAGTACGATGTCCCAAATGTAACACAATAATGTAGTAACAGAGGATCCAGACCTGAGTCCTGAGGATGGAATCCTTGTCCACCTTGGCCTTAGACTTCATCACGGATCCTGGCGCCGCCGTCCCAAGCGAAACCGTGGGGTCGTCCCAGCTCTTCCTCCCGGGCTTCGCAGCCGACCCACTCCCCAAATCCGACATCTTGGAGATCCCAGCCACCAGCACCCCAACCTTCTTCTTGCCGGTGCCTTCCCCAGACAGCCGGCGCGAGCCAGGCGACAGGGAGGTCCGCCTCCCGCCGCCGACGGCCGGAGACGCGGCGACCCTCCTCCCTCCCGCGGGCGACGGCTGGCGGTACCTCGACGGCACAAGGATCGCCGGCTCCCTCACCACCCTCCGGTTCTCCTCCCTGGCGGCGACCAGGCTCGGCACCACGCACTTGGACGGCGCCGGCGACGTGGCCCGCGGCGTGCCCCTGACCGCGGGCGAGGACGCCCGCGAGGCGCTTTTGCCGACGGAGGGAGACGACGCCCGCGAGACCGCGGGCTTGGCGGCGGGCGACGGATCTCGGTGCTTGGACGGCGGCGCCGGGGACGAGAACCGGCGCTTGACGGGCTGCTGCGGCGCGGGGTCGGCGACGGCGTTCTTCGGACCCAGGACGGTCCGCTTGACGGCGGCGGTCTCGCTGGCGTCGGGAGCGGCGGAGGGGTTGGAGGAGGAGGGCATGAGGGGCGGCGCGGCGTCGGCGGCGGACGCGGCGGGCTGGATGACGTAGCCGCGGGCGCAGGATGCGGGGCGCGCGACGAGCGGCTCGGGCTTGCCGACGCAGGGGAGGGGGCGGGAGGACGGGACGGTGCGGAGTCCAACCGCGCGCGGCACGGGGCGCGCGAAGCGGAGGCGGTCGAGGTGGACGAGGTGGCCCACGAGCTGCGGGCGGGCCGCGGCCAGCAGCGCGTCGGCGTCGGCGGGCGGGACCTGGACGTAGGTGCAGTGGAGGCCGTCGGAGAGGTTGAGGAGGACGCCGTTGGAGGGCGGCGCGGCGAGGAGCGGGGAGTCGGAGGTGGAGGCTGTCAGCGCCGGCACCACGGCCGTCACCTGCAGCACCGGCGAGCGGTGCTCCCCCGCCACGCGCTCCTCCGTGTGCATCGCCTGCAGCAGCCGCAGCAGCACCCCCTGCGTGACCGTCGCCATGGCGGGTGGAGATGGGATCGAGGGATGGGATGGGCGAGGAGGAGGGATTTGGGGGGAGGAGCCGAGGAGGTGGAGAGAGAGAGATTCGGGGGCGTAACTGCCGTGCTGTGACTCAAATTTCAAACGCCCCCTGAGCGGCGGGACGGACAGGACAGGTGGGGCCGAGGAGGTCTTGATAAGGTCAGGGTGGCAGTGTGTGACATTCTCGTTGGGCCATGATGTATAAAATGGGCTTAAAGTGGCCCCTCGCTGCGTTTACTTCTCAAGAAACGCCAGAGGATTTCCGGGGCCACAACGGAATCGATGGACTCCGCCAAACTGGATCAAGGCGAGGCATAAGATCAACAGTTGTATAAGTAACTTAACCCGAGTGTCCGGACCGACGGACATCCTCCTTATCATTTGTTGTTCTGAGCCCGACAACACAGCCTACCACCCTCGCCCCCGAATCGAGGCGAGCGACGGCGCAAACGACCAGCAACGCGCTGGCCGCAGGGCAAGCGGGAGTGCGGCAGCGGCCGTGCGGGCGCTACATGCCAGGCCCCATCATCGATGACTTCGATGCACAACAACGGGGCAGAGGTTGCGGCCGTGCCGACGAGCTTTGCACACGCATGTGCCATCGAGCCGGCGAGCTTTCACGATGGATGCTCCAGCAAGCAGGCGAGAGGAGCTTTGCGTGACGCCGCCCCACTGGTGAGTTGCATGCGCCACTGCCGCACGGGCAAGCTCCGCGTCAGCGTCGAGCTCCACAACGATGAGTATCCACTCGCCCAAGCAGCAAGGTGACATTGTGTTGCAACCCCATGTTGCGAGTGTATGTTCCAGGTGTTTCGACTGTTTGAGATGAATGTCACAAGTTGTTTACCCGGATGTTAGAAAAATACATCTAGATCTTGCAATACGTATATAAAAATGTTTTATCTGCTTTGATGTATGTGTTATATTTTATCTATGTTGCGTATGTTTATCTATATGTTTTAAATGTTTCGTTTCATATATACATTTGTTTCAATGTTTCAGATCATTTTTAGAGGTATATATTACATTTGTTTCGCAGGCGTCCCCGCGTGTAGGTAGGCAGCAGGCTGTCCCGGCGTGGCCTTCTTACTGGTAGCACAGTCGGCAGTCGGCACACATACACCTGCGGCTAGGAACGGATGGTGGAGTAAAAAGCGCACGCATGCAGCCGCAGCGTGGTGCGCACGGAGGTGGCTTCCCTCCCCACCGCCTCGTGCTGTAATTTGGCACGTTCCACGGACGGAGCTGTGAATCGGAGTGGACAGGGCACGCGACAGAGAGTTAGGCACGGGCGTTTGTTCTATCTCAGATGTTTGGAGCTAGCTCTACCGTTTGTTCTATCTCACATATTTGGTGCAAACTATCCTGGAGTCCTAGTATTTCGTGCGTTTAAACAGCTCCACTAGATAATATGAGTTAAGGGCATGAAATAACCAACTAATTAGCCCTGTTTAGTTACGTCAGTCTTTTACTGACTTATTTATTTATTTCAGGAGGAAAAAAACCGAACAAGATTTGTCTTTGTGAATCAAAATCTTTAACTTTTCTGAAATTTTTACAAACTAAATTATTCTTTTTTTTTTTGAAAAAAAGGACGGGGGACGAGAGTCTCCACCTGAAATCTAAAGATATTTGTTGTAGGCTAGCGTGATTGACTCAAGGTGGTCACGTCGTCGTATTTTCGAAAGTCGGATTATCAATCCAACGGTGGTTTGGTGTCTTCCCATGACAAATATATACCTTTGAAAACTCCACGATTCCAAATCCACTTCTCCTCCCTCTCGCTCCTCTCCCAGAGAATCTCGGTAGTGGAGGGCTAGCGCCCTGCAGCTCAAGCCTGCAAATTCAGAGTTACACATGAAAGAGCGGGGAGGAGATTACATTTGGAACAAAATACACCAGCTAAGAAATTCATGCCTCTAATTAAATTATTCTTTTTACTCGCGAGAAACGTAGACCTGTAATGCTGTGTGCACTTGGCATGATAGCTTAGTTCTGAGTTTTGATTAGGTATAACGCCATAACGGGATAAGCACCCATGTTGAGATGAATTTGGTCCGGTCTAGTTCCACAGGTTAGCTGGTGGTGCTTTGTGACCAAACTGTGCCCTAGGTATAATGTTAAAGGCCTATTCGGATCACCTCTGATTAAAGTTTAGTCTAGCATTGGATAATATGCTAAACATGGGCTACTTATTTTTTTTTTTTTTTTTGAGTTTTTCTCATCAATTAGCCTCTATTAATTTTTTTTAGTCCATGATTAATTCATATTTAGACCTTCTATTTGGCATCCAAAACATGGACTAAAGTTTAGTTTAGACCATCCAAACACGGCCGAAGATGTGATGGTAGGTTATTTGGTGTCACTACTACAGGAATGAATTTGCGCAGCGTGACCAAAATAGGCTCCGTGGCGGGCACCTCTTTTGCCCGCCACGGTTAACTTCGTCTTTGTCCAATGGCTAAAAAATCCTCCGGCAACCAGGTAAAAGTTTTACTGGCGCGGGCACCTTTTGTTGCCCGCCGATGAAGGCTCCGATACTGCAATGGTATAAAATAATTGCGCCTTGTTATAATGTAGAAAAAAGTTTTTTAGTTTGTAGGCCATTTCTTTAACCCCATAATTATGAGTTCAGAGTTTAATATGTAAATGTAATGAATTATGATGACAAGAACGACTCAAGTGAATGTATATATATGTATATTATCTCATGTGTAATGCACATATTTTTAAGTTTAATTTGTGAAATGCTGGATGTGATTTGAATTACACATGGCTAGCTACTACTTATCCCTTCCATACAACCCTAACCTGAAATGCAAAATGGTACTTGTATTACCTATTTCTCTGTCACATACTACATTATTATTATCGGGCATACTTGTATTACCTACTACCTATTTCTCTCTACCATTGTTGTCTTACTACTGCTCACATTACTCTCAATTCAATCAATCATAGATGGGACTACACTTGATGAATTTTGAACCTTTGCTATACTATTTCTATGATGTTTTTTGTGAACCGTAGCATTTGAATTCAAATCTTTTGAACTTTGCCTATGATGCCAAAGAAATTTGTGACAAAATTTGTTGAATGTGTAATGCACCCATTACTTTTTAAGTTTAATCTTCCTAAATACTGGATGTGATTTGAATTTGAATTTATATGCCTGCAGTATTTTTTTGCAATTCATGAAATAATTTACCGAGGCGTTCAAATAATAAAGCCCGCCACTGTTAGCTCGAACCATAACTTGAGGCAGGGGCCACAAAAGGTGTCCGCTTGATCACGTTAAAATAATTTATCAATTCATTGGGTGTAAAACGTTGCTGCCGTGGTAAAGACTATACCTTTAGGTACTTTTGCCGTACTTCCTCTATGCATGATGTTAAGCCACGATTATTTTTTTTTGCAGGCCTCTAGGTCATGCTGTTACGGCTTTACCTTACCGAAAGGGTCCTAATGGCTAGAGGGGGTGAATAGCCTAATAAAAATTTCTACAACAACACTTAAACAAATGGTTAGACAATTATGAGGTGTGCTAAGCTAGTGTTATGTGTTGCGCTTAGCCCTACTCAAAAATGCAAGCCACCTACCACAATTTTAGTTTAGATAGTGTCAATTCACACAAGAGCAATGACACTACCCTATGTTAGTGTGCTCTCAAAGACTAACTAAAGAGCCACACCAACCAAGCATGCAAGCTCTCACAACTAGCTACACTAAAGAGCTTGTCAACTAGTTTAAGGTAAAGTAAAGAGAGTGATCAAGAGGGTTATACCGCCGTTTTCAATGAATGAACCAATCAATCACGAAGATGAATAATTGATGACCAATCACCTCGGAATCAATGATGAACACAATGATTTTTACCGAGGTTCACTTGCTTGCCGACAAGCTAGTCCTCGTTGTGGCGATTCACTCACTTGGAGGTTCACGTGACTGACAAGGCATTTTTTAGTTTCGCCAAACCCTCAATAGGGTGCCGCACAACCAACACAAGATGAGGATCACACAAGCCACAAGCAATTTACTAGAGTACCTTTTGGCGCTCCACTTTTACGGAGGTCAAGAACCCCTCACAATCACCACGATCGAGTCTGGAGACAATCACCTCCTCCACTCAACGATCCTTGCTGCTCCAAGCCGTCTAGGTGGCGGCAACCACCAAGAGTAACAAGCGAAAACAAGAAATGAAACACAATCACCAAGTGCCTCTAGATGCAATCACTCAAGCAATGCACTTGGATTCACTCCCAATCTCACTGATGATGATGAATCAATGATGTAGATGAGTGGGAGGGCTTTGGCCTAGGCTCACAAGGTTTCTATGTCAATGAAAATGTGCAAGAGAGCTCCCTTGAGCCGACATGGGGCTATTCTCTTAGAGCCCCAATGAAATAGAGCCACTTTTGCAAACTTCATCTATGCATTAATGCACTAGAGGTGTAATACGCTTCCGCTTCCGATCGATATTTTCGCTTAGAAAAATCGATCGACCGGATGCGATGATGAGAGAAAGTCCGTTTACCACGTGATTCACTCCACGTGTCCCCCAATTCAAATGTTGTTCGAAATTTCAAAAACCGATGCAAGGATTATGTAAGACAGACGCCACCGGACAAACTCCATCCGGTCGTTTCCAGATAGCTCCCCGAGGCATATTTTTTCGACCGGACGCTGTGTCCACTCTTATCGGGACTTGTTCGGTGCTCAACTCTAACCCATCATGGATCATTGATCAGTAATGGATCGGGGAGTTGATATATTACGTGCTATTCAGATTCCCGTTCGGTCCACACATATTTGCCAAAGATCATTCGATCAACTCAATTTCAATTTCTTACTTCTTCACCCTTGCTCAAGTGTGCCAAAATCACTAAATATTTTAACATCCGGCGCAATAGAAAATAGACATTTCATTTTCTCGCCTCCTGCAGGTCAATCCCGCAAAAATTCAGAGTTTACATGAAAGAGAGGGACCCAAACCCATCTCAAAATACAAACACCTTGTGCAAATGTGGTAGCATATTTACATTATTCCTTATCACTCGGTGTTAGCACTCCACTAGATCCTAAATGCATATGCAATGAGTTAGAGCTCTAGTTCTGACTTTTGATTAGGTATTTCGCCATACAAGTTTCACCACCCATCTTAATAGATGAATTTGGTCAAACCTAAATGTGATCACACTCTTAAGTGTCTTGATCACCAAAATAAAATAGCTCCTAGGTAGTTATACCTTTGCCTTGAGCTTTTTCGGATCTCTTGATTCTTTTAAGTCTAGCATTTGATCATATGCTAAACATGCCATCATCTTTATCATGCTATGATCTTCATTTGCTTCACATCACTTGAGTGTCTATTATATCTCATGATCACTTGATAAATTCTAGGTTAGCACTTCTATTTCATCAATTCACCAAAACCAAACTAGAGCTTTTAGTTTAGAAATAAAAACACGGCCGAAAATGAAAAGTTTGTGTAGTAGTGTGTTGGACCTTTTGGTGCTAGACTTCATGCCTTGATCGACTGTTAAGTTGGGCCCAGCCTAAAAATTCCAACACTTCCGGCACTAGTGTCCCAGTAATAATAGGGGAGTGACAATTAAGTTGTTCCAGCTTTCACGTAGAAAAAATTCTTAACCTTCCTCAACTATTGTTATGGCACGATTTACTTTCTAAAACTAAAAAATCGGATGTGTTTTGGCTCCTTTTATCTATTGATGAAATCGGTTTGTTTTTTATCTTGGGTGGTTTTCAAGGCGGTTTAGTCTGACGTGCCGCCACCACATTATCCATGAGAGAAAAGTAAATTGGGCTGAGTTGATAGTTTAGGGGTCAAATAGACTTTACCGAAAAAGTCCAAAAATATTTTTAAAAACTCCCTAAATATTTTGTTTTTGAAAAAAGTGGAATTTAAATTAAAAAAATCTAGCTTAATCTTAGAAAATCAAAGGGAAACTAATTTTAGCTCAAAAAATAGGAAAATAGTTTCAGATTTTTTTACAAAATAATGCTCTATATTATGATGCATAGACTGTAATGATATATATCATTTTGATGTTTATTTACTAGTATATTATTTTATGTTCTTGCTAGATGTTATAGTTAGTCTACGTCGATGAGTCATGCGTCGTTATAAGCAGAAGTTCAACTGATTTTGACGACAATAAAAATGCCATGTAACTAATATACTTGATCTTTAGTACGAACACAGGTCATAACTTGGCCCAAAAATGAATATGGCCGCATCTTTTTCTGGTTTGTACTGAAAATGAACAATCTAGCTACCTAATTGGTGCCAACTCATATAGGCCCTACTAGCTAGATATCACCGCATTAAAAAAAAAGAAACATCATTTTATCGCTAATAATGTTATACTGTATTATATTGCTTCTGGTTACTCCGTTCAAAAATATTTGCACAAACCTAACGGATGTAAAGTGACCGGTGCTGGTTTGTTATAGGAGAAAAACACTATTATCTAATTTATAAATTCTAGCTAAAACAAACAAACGAACAGGATAAAAGTATGGACGTTCTCTCACGGAGTCTCATTTCAACTTTATTATTGTTGCTCACCAAGCAAAAAAAAAATCCAAAACAAACATGCCGCCGGGATCCATGGCCGCCCGGCACCAGTGGAACACGGGCTGGCGCATGGCCGCGGCCGCCGCCGAGCCAGAGGTCCGGGGAGGGCCAGAGCTAGAAAGTAGACATCGCTGCCACTGTCGAGTCAGATGCCCACTGTCGCTGCAGCTCCCGCAACCACTCGCCAGAAGCTCAGTCTTCTCCACCGCTGCAACATCCGCACCGCCCGCGGCGACATTGGTGGCCTTCCTGTCGTGGCGCGACGCGATGTCAGCGACCACGCTCGTGTCCACCAGCCATCCCGTCGTCGAGGCCACCATGGCGCGCTCCTTGGCCGCGGCTCCAACTAGACCGTGTCTTGGAATCCTGCGGCTGCCGGCCTTGCCGCTGCCGCCTCGGTCTCCTCACGAGCGCGCTCCAGTCCAGTCCTCTCCACCGCACCATCGCCCATGCCCCGCCGTTCGTCCTCCACGAACACGCGTCGATCCTCCTTCCATTGCACGACATCTCTCCACCGCGGCGGCGGTTGGACCCTGCCTCCATCTTCAACGCCGGCGGGGACGAGGTCTAGCCGCCCGGGCGCAAGGGATGGAACGGGCTTGGCCGCTGTGCGTGGAGTGCAAGGCGATGGGGAAGAGAAACAGTTGCAGCGGCGACGGGAACCATCCAGAGACGGAGGGAACAGATAAGGCTGAGTCCGTTTTTTTTTTATAATATAAAATCGATGAATGGGTAGAGAGGGGGAATTCCATAAGTGTCATAAAAAAAAAAATCGTAATACTCTGTGTGTCTCTGAAAAAGTTCAGCACTTTTTAGTGTTACTAATTTAACTTTTTCGTGCCATCTATGCCACTTCCGTCAGTTTGAGCTCATAACGCCGTCAAACTACATGTGTAAAAAGACGAAAATACCCATAAGTTTAAATATATCATTAATTTTTTTAGCATCTTAACGACTTCAAATGAAAAAACTCAAAACTAGAAAGTTGTAGATCTCGTCGAGATATATAATTTTTATATAAAAATTATTTTCATTTAATTCCGCAAAAAAATAATATAATTTTTTTAAGATATATTAATCATATCAAATCATATTTTTTTGTAGAATTAAATGAAAATAATTTTTATATGAAAATTATAGATCTCGACGAAATCTACAACTTTCTAGTTTTGAGTTTTTTTATTTGAAGTCGTTAAGATGCTCAAAAAAATTAATGACATATTTAGACTTAAGATATTTTTCTTCTTTTCAACATCAATCATTCGATGAAAGACCAGAGTCCAAAATATCGAAAGGAAGTATGATCATTTGGAGGGCACGAAAAGTTAAATCATCTCAGAGCATATGATGTCTTCTCCGTCCGGTAAATCCGTAGTCACGCCGAAGATAATTTCCGCCCAGACACAATAAGTAAAATTATGATCTTTTTTAATGACCCGTAGGAAATTCTCTCTAGAGAGAACGAGTGGCCAGGAAACGATTGGAATGATCGGCTTCCTGTTTTTATTTTATTCTGTTAGCTCTGAAGCCGTGCCGGCCGTCAGTCTGGAACTGGAAGAGCACCCAGGAAGCAGGTCGCCGGCCGGCTTATGTAGACAGAGGCTGCCTGCTGGTGTCATGGTATCGGCAAGCCTGGATGTTTGTATGGACGTGGACTGGAGCATTGTTTTGTTTTAGCCGGCGCGGTTTCAGCAGGTGATCGGAGTCGAGTGCTTTGCTGAGCTTGCCTGGGTGGGACTGGGCGGCTTGGTTTCTGCGCACATTCGTCTGGTAGTTCGGCCGAGATGGACAGCCTCGGTGACTGCTACAAAGCTCTGGTTAGACGTTGGTCGCTCGTTGGTTTCAACCAGTTTAAATCAGTCAACCAACAGTATTTTTTTCTCATAAAAACCAGCATCAACCAGGGAACATGCCCTTTGTCTTTTATTACGTGCGTGTGCTCATCCGGTCCATTGCTATATATATAATAATAATAAATAAATAAATAGGCATGCAGCTTGCCCAACGACAGTAATGTGAGGTCTAGTGTAGTTGGAACTTGGAAGTTCCCTCTTCCTTGGCTGCTCTGCTCTCTTGTGTGAGATATATATATATATATATATATATATATATATATATATATATATATATATATATATATATATATATATATATATATATATATATATATATATATATATATATATATATATATATATCTCACACAGTTGATCACAGTCCAGACTTGAGACTTGTTCAGTGATAGCTGTTGCCTTCTCAGCTTCACTTGCCGCTGACTGTCTCTGCTCCTGCTCGCTTGACACTTGGCGCAGGAGTTTAAATGGCTCTTAAGATCTAATCATCTAAGATTAAGAAACAAGAAGAAAACAAAAGTTATGGACGAAGGATCACCATCTCATTTTTACAGACCATTGGCCCATAGGAAATTTCGCAAAACATCTTCTTTCTACAACAGAGATTCTCCTTTTCAGTTGAATATACTCCAGGTCTGTGTCTGCTATCAAATTTAATAGCTGCAAACACTAAATAAACTGCATTCATTAATCTTAACACAGACAAGACTCTTGAGAAGTGTACCCACTTTTTCATCTCTCGGTTGACTCGATATGATCATCGCCACACCGAAGCATGGAAGCACCCGTTAGAGCGAGGCTAATAATACAGCCAGCAAGTTGGCCATAAAGATCCGTTTTCTCTCAGCTCAACTCATATAGTAGTTAGCTCTTCATTATTAATATATGACCTACTTGTCCCTCTCACAACGTTTCTCGGTTCTTGTATCTAAGCCAGCTGTAAGCTTACAACCCGCTTCTCTTTTCTCTCTTCTCCTCTCTCTTCCACCTCAGCATTCAGCCGGTTTACCGCTTACTATTATACTTGCTCTTAAAGGCCCCATTCGTTTCGCTGAAAAAACAAGCTGAAACATTGTTTCGACTAATTTGTTGTGAAAGAAAAATATTGTTCTAGCTGAAAAGATAAGTCGAAAAGTACGGATTATCAGACAAACGAACATGACCAAAATGGTTACAACAATAAAACCAACAGCAATACAGCATGTTGACATCGCAGTTCTGTTAGCAGAAGGCAACAGCATCATATTACGCGAGACACTCCATGAGCACGCCAGTTAAATGATGTCTGTGCAGACACGGCAAAAACCTTTCGAAAATTAAAATTCTGCTAATAGAACAATTCTTTATACATAAATAGAAATGCATCAATCACAAATATACTTCAAGCTAGGCAACAAAACCATCCCTAATCACCGACACCAACTAGATTCCTCTCATAAGTACAGTTAAGACCACCATATATTTTATGGGACTCAACAACGTCACACCTAGAGAGAAGTGCCTAAAAATCGACTCCATCGGAGGTACGTACTACGCTACTTGCTGTGACTACATACTCCTTTATGCATGGCAGAGCAAACAAGCCTCGGTCAGTATACATCACAATCTACGTAGCGACTAGTAGAAGTACGTACAGAATACGAGTCGCTGAAAGTACAGATATTTTTTACTACGACTCCATCTCGTCTCCAATTTCGGTGCGGCTCCGGTGCCGGCCCCCGTCCGGATGCTCACGTCTGCTCTGCGTGCCGCGCATGCTGCTAAGCCGCCGGCAACGGCTGCGCCTGCACGGCCACATGTAGCTGGGCGTATGTGCCTGCTGATGCGCTTGCAGGTGGAGATCACTCACGCCCGCTTCGCTTGCCATACACATGGGGACGCCGCGCTTGCGAGGACAACCTCCGCATGTGCCCGCGTCCTGCGCCGGCTAATGTTGCAATATAAAGCATTTCTACAACATACATCTAAAACATGTGAAATATTTACAACATATGTGTACAACAACTACAACAACATCAAATAAAACACTTGCAACATACATCTGAAACAAATAAAACATTTTGAACAGACGCTTGCAACATATGTGTATAGCCGCTAAAACATATGCAACATTTAGATAAAACACTTACAACATACATCTGAAACAGATAAAACATTTGAAACATACACTTGAAACATACGTGTATAGCTATTGCAACATATGCAACATCTAGATAAAACACGTTCAATATCCAGATAAAACATATCCCGAAACACATAAAACATACAGAGCTCGATGCCATAGAGTGGCGGAAAAAATTGGGCCGGAACTTAGGTGCCAACGGTCAACCGTCATGAGAGCAACAAACAGCGCATGCAGATGCCAGGCCCCACTCCTCCCATAAACTCTCAGAGCTGTGTGGTAACAGCCCATGCATGGCCCCCCATGCGCCACGCCGAGCGAGTGGACTCACAAGATTCCATGCACCGCCTGAGATGAGATCACGCCGCATGCATCCACGCTGAACAAGTGGTCGCACGGGCTCCGTGCGATGCCATGCAGAAAGGATGGGTGCGGGCCCCGCCTGACTGTAACTGCGCGCCTCTTCTTTTTTCGTGGTCGTCGTGCGCGCGGGTCCGAACGAACGAACACCTTGAACCAAGCATTGCCGCTCCAATTTTGACTTGAAGTAGAACCCATGCATTCAGAATGCTGGATTTTTTTTAACTTTCTATATTTTTCTTATGAAAATAAATTGATTTTCGTGAAATCTTATGCTCTTATATAAAGAAAAAACCCACTATCTATTTCTTTGAGATTTCGTGAGGCCATGTCATCACCAAAGCTACACTAAGTCACTAGTACAAACACTAAATTGCATTCGCGAGTCCCATTAGGAGTAACTTCAAACACTAAATTGCATTTGATGCCAAGCCACCAAGTCATCAAGAGGCACCGTATTGTTCTTCACATGGTTCCTTTAATGCATCAAGCCACCAATTCAACTATGCACCCAAGCCATAACAAATTTTCACCCCTGTCCAGTATGTACTTCCAACTCCTCAACTCTACTTCCAAACGAAGCTAGCAGCTAACCAAATTCATCCGTAATTTTATCTTGATATCCGCAGCAACGTGCGGAGAATTCTTCGGTTTCTTAATTTACGAGTCTTATAAAGTTCCTATCTTCCAAAGGAACCCGAGAAAGTTGCACCTGTGGTCGATGAACATGCACTGGCCGGGGAAACGACTCTGACCAAGACATGATCAAGAAAATTATCAGGATCATTCGGTCAATCCAACCCTGCATGTCATACATGCTTCTACATGGAGCCAAGCGTCTGTTTATACTCGGAGTAATTCTAAGATGTGTCGGTGTTTATACTCGGATCGAGTAATTCTGAGGTTATATTGATTTTTTTACCAAACGATAACATATACTAATGGTTAAAATTTATTTTTATTTGTTTTTTTTTACGATGAAACT